CCCTGCACAACATCAGTAATCAGGACTCCTCCCCCGCGCCTCCCAGCAGCGGCACTGGCCAGGACACCCAGCACCTCTCTGGAACATGTATCCTGAACCGCCCCCACACACAACATCAGTAAAGGAACCTGTGGCCTGGGACTGACCCTGTTTTGGGGGCTGGGGGGTTGGCCGCAACTCTTCCCCCCTTGTCACATCAGTAAGCAGAACAACCTCCCAAAAAATTAGTAACAGACAGCCTCTTGTGCTACTTGGTGGGACCCTCTGCCCCCCACCCCAGCATCTGTAACCAGGGCCCACCCTGCATCCTCTGGGCCAGGACCCCACCACAGTAACCAGGACCAGCTGGGGCCTTCTGCATGGCCAGCCCTAGACTCCCTGTCCCTCTAATATCGGTAGCCAGGACCTCCTGCCCCCTCCAAGTCCCCATAATTGGACCGACTGGGAACCCCTGTGTGCTCCAGCCAGGACCCCCTGCACTCCCTGGCAACATTGGTAACCGGGGCCAGTTGGGACACCCCTCATCTTCCTCCTCCCCTCCCCCGTTTAGCCCCCATACTCTATCCCATCCCTGCCGCAACATTGGTAACCAGGACCCCACCCCATTACCCCCATACTCTACCCCATCCTACCACCGGCAACATTGGTAATGGGACCCTCTGACCCCCTAGGCTGTGGACCCCCCTGAATTCCATGACACACACACACACACGCACACACACACCCAGCAACATCAGTAACCGGGATTTGCTGAGACATGCTCCACACTCCCCCAGCAACATCAGTAACCAGGATTCCCCTGAACTCTCTGGCCAGGACCCCTGAGTAACTGGGACTGGGTCTGGACCCCCCTGCAACACAGGTACCTGGGACCCCTGGCATCCCTCTCCCAGGACAGGACCCCCTACATGCACACATCAGTAATCAGGATCCCTGGCACTGCCTACAGGCCAGGCCTCCATGGTCATGACCCTTCCCACAACATCCGTAACCAGGATCCCCCATGCAACATGGGTAACCGGGACCACCTGGGCCCTTCTGCATGCCTGGACTGGGACCCCCTGCACTCTCCCCCAACATTTGTAACCAGGACCCTCCCTGCATCCCACAACCTGGACCCCCACCCCAGTAACTGGGACCGGCCAGGACCGCTCCTCCTAATCCTTGCAACACCTGGACTCGGCCATGACCTCCTGGCCAGCACCCCCCCCCCCCATACTCCCACCCCACAACTTCAGTAACTGGGTTGGGACCCGACCTCCAGCTAGGACCCTATGTAAAATTGGTAATCAGGACCCCTGCTAGTCCTCTGGGCTAAGACCCTCCTGGACCCCCTACTCCCTCTCCCAGTAACTAGGACAGGGCTGGGACAGGACCCCCATACCCCACCCCAACATCAGTGATCAGGATTCAGGACCCCTGCACCCCAGTCTCCCCACAACACTGCTAACTGTGGTACCCCCACCCTCCGGTACAGAACCACCGACCTCCTGTCCCTACTGCAACATCAGTAGCTGGGTTCCCTACTGCCTCATAAACCAGAACCCCCCAGGCCTACCACTGCATCAGTAACCAGGGCCCCCCGACCCCACTCTGCAACATCAGTAACAGGGACCCTGCCAGACCTGGCCCCTCTCTCCCTGCACCCTCATGGCATCAGTAACAGGGACCCTGAACCCTACTAGTCCTGGCCCCCCTCTCCCTGCCCCTCCACAGCATCAGTAATGGGGACCCTGGCCCCTGCCAACCCTGCCCCCCCCCTTCCCACTGCACCACCACAGCACATCCTCCTCTCCACATGCTACAACATCAGTAATTGGGCTGGTCCAACTGGGCTGGAACGCCCACCTCCATTCCCCACCACCACAGTATCAGTGACAGGGCCTGTACCCCCACCAGGCCTGGCCCCCCCACCATAACATCAGGGACTACAACCCTCCAACAACATTGGTAACCAGGGTCCCTTCCCTCACTAGCTCACAACCCTGTACCGCCAGGCCAGTGGTGCTCTATCTCCAGCTATAATGTCAGTAATCGGAACGGGGCTCCTCTTACTGCAGCATGAGGTAACTGGGCCACCTGCATGGGCTAGGACCTCCCCAAGATAGAGACTGCCACTCCCCTACTGCAACATCGGTAACCAAGATTCTTCCCTCCCCTCCCCCCCGTCTTTGATCCCTCTGCAATATCAGGAGCCAGGACCCAACTGCCCTGGGACAGAGATCTACCCACCATCATAACACGAGTTAATCTCCACACCAGATTATAACATTGAGAGGGAGGACAATGAAATAAGAACGGATATAGCCGGGGGGACAAGATTGGACATGTGCGGGGGGGGATACTAGACTAAAAGGTCATACTAGCAATACAGTGTGCATACCAAATGGGATAACAAATGTGAGAGAGGCCAAACGGCATAAATTAAGATGTTTAGACACCAATGCAAGAAGCCTAGGTAACAAAATGGAGGAATTAGAGCTCCTGGTCCAAGAAATGAAACCGCATATCATAGGAATAACTGAAATGTGGTGGAACAGTAGTCATGACTGGAGTACAGGTATGGAAGGGTATGTGCTGTTTAGGAAGGACCAGATTAAAGGGTAAAGGTAAGGGAGTAGCATTGTATGTCAGTAATGAGGTAAACTGTAAAGAAATAATAAGTGATGGAATGGATAAGACGGAGTCTGTCTGGGCAATACTCACATTGGGTAAAAGAACTACTAGAGCCTCCCCTGGGATAGTGCTTGGGGAGTGCTATAGACCGCCAGGATCTAGCCTGGATATGGACAGAGAACTCTTTAATGTTTTTAGGGAAGTAAATACTAATAGGAACTGTGTAATGATGGGAGACTTTAACTTCCCGGATATAGATTGGGGAACAAATGCTAGTAACAATAATAGGGCTCAGATTTTCCTAGACGTGATAGCTGATGAATTCCTTCATCAAGTAGTTGCTGAACCGACGAGGGGGGATGCCATTTTACATTTGGTTTTGGTGAGTAGTGAGGACCTTGTTGAGGAAATGGTTATAGGGGATAACCTTGGCTCGAGTGATCATGAGCTAATTCAGTTTAAACTAAATGGAAAGATTAACAGAATTAAATCGGAGACTAAGGTTTACGATTTCAAAAGGGCTAACTTTAATAAATTAAGGGGACTAGTTAGGGAAGTGGATTGAACTAACATATTTAGAGATCTAAAGGCGGAAGGCGCCTGGGATTATTTCAAGTTGAAGTTGCAGGAGCTGTCGGAGGCCTGTATCCCGAGAAAGGGAAAACGGTTCGCAGCCAGGAGATTTAGACCGAGCTGGATGAGCAAGCGTCTCAAAGGGATCATTAAGAAAAAACAGAAAGTGTACAGGGAGTGGAAGATGGGAGGGATCAGCAAAGAAACCTACCTTATTGAGGTCAGAGCATGTAGAGACGGAGTGAGAAAAGCCAAAAGCCGTGTACAGTTGGACCTTGTGAGGGGAATTAAAACCAATAGCAAGAGCTTTTATAGCCATATAAATAGGAAGAAAACAAAGAAAGAAGAAGTGGGACCGCTTAAGACTGTAGATGGAGTGGAGATTAAGGATAATCTAGGCATGGCACAATATCTAAATGAATATTTTGCATCGGTATTTAATGAGGCTAATGAAAGGCTGAGGAATAGTAGAAGCAAGACGGATGGGAATAAAGGAGTGGGGATTGACATTACTGTATCTGAGGTAGAAGCCAAACTCGAACAGCTTAACGGGACTAAATCGGGCGGACCGGATGATCTTCATCCGAGAATATTAAAGGAACTGGCACAAGAAATTGCAAGCCCGTTAGCAATAATTTTTAATGAATTTGTAAACTCGGGGGTGGTACCGTTTGACTGGAGAATAGCTAATGTGGTTCCTATTTTCAAGAAGGGGAAAAAAGTGACCCAGGTAACTACAGGCCTGTTAGTTTAACATCTGTAATATGCAAGGTGACGTGGCCGTGAAAAAAGCTAATGCGGTCTTGGGATGCATTAGGCGAGGTATTTCTAGTAGGGATAAGGAGGTGCTGGTTCCGTTATACAAGGCACTGGTGAGACCTCATTTGGAGTACTGTGTGCAGTTCTGGTCTCCCATGTTTAAAAAGGATGAAATCAAACTGGAACGGGTACAGAGAAGAGCCACTAGGATGATCCGAGGAATGGAAAATCTGTCATATGAAAGGAGACTCGAGGAGCTCGGTTTGTTTACCTTAACCAAAAGAAGGCTGAGGGGGGGATATGATTGCTCTCTTTAAATATATCAGAAGG